GTCGGCTTGAAATAAAAGCACATGAGGGAAAAGTTACGGTGGGAATCAGTAGGGGAGGAATCGGAGGGGAGGGAATGAGGGGTGAATTTGAGCAAAACACATATGCATGCATGAAAGTCTTAAACAATAAAATAATCAGGCCGGGCGGTGGTGGCACACGCCTTTAATCCCCGCACTCGGGAGGCAGAGGCAGGCGGATCTCTGTGAGTTCGAGGCCAGCCTGGGCTACCAAGTGAATTTGTTCCAGGAAAGGTGCAAAGCTACACAGGGAAACCCTGTCTCGAAAAACCAAACAACAACAACAACAACAACAAAAAACCCAATAAAATAATCTTGTCAATATACTAAGATACACTGAATTATTCACTTCCAAGGGACAATTTTATGTACAGTATATGAATTATACCTCAATTTCTAAAATGTAAATCTGTAGTTATATAGCCTACGCCCAAAAATCTTAACTAAGCTACATCTCCAGGACACCAGAAAGCTACTTTTTCCAGATAAAATATGTTTAAAAGCATAAACATTACTGAATTATTTTCACTGTACCTATAAATATGTACAATTAAAAAATGAAATAATTTGAATGGAAAAATTACCAAAATAGTATGAATCATTCTATAGTTTTAAAATTACATTAAAGATTTGATTTATTTATTTATTTATTTTTTTGCTGAAACTGTTCCAAAACTGACCCAAAAGAAAAAAAGTGTTGAAATGAGTAACTTCTGTGTCATATTTCATTTAAAATATTGTAAATATGTTTCTCAATGTCACTGACATAAAATATTTTTTTTATTTTTTGTGTACTAATATAAATTTGAGTTAAAATATCTTTTGAAGTGTTAAAAATGATATTTTTGTTTTCTCATTATAGCTTTGTTATTCATTGTAGAAGACTTTAGTGTTCAACATAGAGTAAAAAAAAATGAGACATTTTTGCATGTGTTGCTTAGCGTTAGCCAGGATTGCTTTCAATTAAATACTGTTACTATTGTACTGTGGTTTGTATGGAGCTAAATGCTGGACAGTTAAGTGGGGTGAGAGGAAGGTGTCGGGGGCCAGGGCATACAATGCCGGTTCAGAACATCTGGGAATACTCTGTAGAAAAGCACGTGCTTTGCAGTGAGCTAAATTTCTCCTTATCCTTTTCTTCGATGTATTTAAAGTATCAAACTATCTTACTTTTCAAATATGTAACTTTGTTTTGCGAGCCTTGGGTTTCTAAGACGCCGAGGTCGTCCCCTCAAGCAATGTTCTCCCTCTCACCGCTGGAAAGCAGACTCGGGTTCACTTATTTGATTAGCTGACCTGGAGCTTATGTAATTAGAAGAGACACCCGGTCCCCTCATTTAAAAGCCTGTTAGCATATGACAGTCTCCTTTGAAGGGAAGGCGATCCTCACCACGCCACGGCTTCTTTCTGTGATCTTGAAGTTCTCTCATACTCCAGATAAGCCTTGATCTGAGGAGGAGCTGAAGCACCATGGGGTAAGTGCGAGCCTCCCGAGCTGTGGACAGGGAAGATATTTTTTATAAGAGAACAAAAGCTGTCTGTCTTTATCTATGGTGTACTAATTCAAATTCAAAATATAGTAACATTTCTTTAAGGTAGACATTCAAATAAGTAGCTTTTACTTCAGGAGTTACAATTTGTAAAGCAGTCGTTCATTTCTTGATTAGTGTTTATATTATGTCTTAATCTACTTTTGCAGCCCGTCGGTTCATGAAATGTCTGGGGACTGAAGTGGTTCTGCACATTTACATATTTAGTTGAAGCCGGATTAAATTTTAAGAACAGTTTTAAAGAAAGGATGATAGAATTCTAGATTTACAAGGCAACTTGAAGCCAACACGTACATACCTCTTTGGGATTAAGAATAATTACAGCATGAGAAAGATCAGGGGATGGTGGATGGCTACTTTACGCCTCTCTGACAAAGAAGAAGGGCAGAGGAGTGTTTGGCCAGAGCTCAGTATTGTAGATACAGTAACAGATTGAGCATTTATACAGAGGAGTCCATTACACAGTGGCAGTTATCTGTGACACATTTCCAAACAGTTCATGGGGTTTTGGATATGATAAAAAACAAAAACAAAAACAAAAACAAAAACAAACAAACTAGATTTCACTCAAAAGCTTACTAGTTTTGAAAGCTTGTGCATTTTATTTTGATTCCATAATTAGATTAGTACTGCGGTTCCATGCGTTTTAGATGATGAGGGAGTAGCAGTATCTGGATGTACAGACTTGTCTTTGTGTCCTGTCTTCATCTGGTAGCTCCTTTCAATACAGAAGCATGGTATGCAGAATACTGATATCTCAGTGACGGTTGCTTTGGAAGGATTCAACATAAATGAACAGAAATTTCTATTAGAGAGAAAGGGTTTTGAGACCTTTATCCCAAAACAGTTTCCACTAACTCTAATTAGGATTCGTATTGTGTTGGTACCATGACTCTGAAAGTGCTAACCCTGTTTGAAAACTCAGACTTTTGAAGGGAAGATCATACTGTTGTTAATTTTGTTTTCAGTGCTGGGGATTAAGTTTAGGATGTTATTCATGCTGGGCAAACACTCTACCACTGAACTAGATCCCAGCCCCTGTCATTAACTTTGTTAAAACATTACTTACTTATTTTTATTTTATGTGCATTGGTGTTCTGCCTGCATATATATCTGTGTGAGGGTGTCGGATCCTGGAGTTACAGACAGCTGTGAGCTGCCATGTGGGTGCTGGGAATTGAACCCAGGTCCCCTGGAAGAGCTGTCAGTGCTCTTAACCGCTGAGCTCTTAACTCTCAAGCCCTGCTATTAACTTTTAAATACAAAGAGAAATGAAATATTTTCAAGCTAAGCATTAACAGAGAAGTTCCAAACCAAGACTTCACATTTTTGTGAAGCACTGCTTGATTTCTCTGGAGCAGAAGTGAGTGCTACGACACCTGTGTTCTCGTTCTTCTCTCCTCCTCCTCCTCCTCTCTGTCCTCCAGAGTCCTGCACCTCAGTGAGCCCCCCCCCCCCCCCCGCCCCAGGAAATCCTAGACAAAGTCAGGGTCCTCCCTTGCTCACCTCCTTCTGCTGCTCCCTCTAACAACCCCTCACACTTCCTTTAATAACAGTAATTCTTAGCTTCTAAGGGAGCAAAGGGGTTTTTTTAAGGATCTTTGAAAGTAGTCTTCCTACCTTTAAAAAAAAAAAACAAGGAAAAATAAAACATTTTTTTGTGTGCAATTTCGTATTTGTAGGTAGTTTGAAATCCAATTGATAACACACACACACACACACACACACACACACACACAGACGTACATGCGTATACAAACAGCGAGGCGAAGAACATTTGGAATTTCATTTGTTTTTGAGACAGGGTCTCATGTGTTCCAGGCTGGAATACCTCAAACTGTACAGGTAGCCAGGATGATCTTGAACTTGTGCGCCTCCTGCACACACCACCTCCCCAGTGCTGGGATACAGGTGGAGGGTGCCTTGTTCCTTTAAAAAGAACATTTGACTTTGATTTTAGGACAGGCATATGATTTGCCTAATGTCTTTCTTAGTTTCTGGATTTCTATAAAATGTAAAAATCATTAAGGTAACGAGTCTTTCTAGTCTTCTCTCAGGGACAGGGTCCAATTGGGGCTTCTGTCCTCTTTCAGCCCCTCCCCCAGCCACCCAGTTTCCTTCAGCATCTGGTGCCTTCCTGTGGTCAGGCACCTAGGACTTGATTAATCACTTATGGCTCTCAGGAAAGCACCAGACTCCACTTGACTGTCACTGAAGAAAAAGAAAACCTTCCTTTTATTTTTAAGGTATTGTTCAGTGCCCCAAATAAGATCCGCTAATCAGGGCACGCGCTGCTCAGTAGCAGAGGGGCCTTTCCTCTGCTCCGTAGCTTGGGAGTTCAGTCTTGCTGGTTCCTGCCTTGTTGATGACGAGGTGATCTTTCTAGAATAATCAGACAGTAGAGGAGAAAGTGGCTGCTGGGCGGTGCTGGAGTCTGTCCGTCTGGAGACATCTATGGCATTTCTCCTGAGATGAGGGAGTGCCCGTCTTGAACTTGTCTTCGGGACCTACTTAACCTGAAGCTCCTGAAGGGTTCATGCCAAGTCCTTTCCATGGTGCCCCAGGCTCTGCCGGCACGGTTGGAGTGAGCAATACAGAAGCAGCTATTACAAACTGTTCGTGCTCTTTAAAAAGTCCCCTCCCCGGGAATTTCTTATAGAGTGTGAGGTGATTAGTGATGGTCCATAAAGATGGATAACGTGTAAGATGGAGGAGGAACTAAAGCAGCATGGTGGTGCATGCTTGTAGTCCCAGAACTGAGGGAACCGCTGAGGCAGGATTATCGTATGCTAAGGCCAGCCTAGGCTACATGGTGACTTCTGTTCAGGCCAGCTTGGACTACATAGTAAGACTCTGTTGGGGGCGGGGGGTGGGGGGGTGGGGGAGGAATCCTGCTGTGTAAAGTGTCCTGCCACTATTAAGCTGATGGCCATATTTCTTGGGAATCCTCCCACCCCCCCAACACATTTTCCAGTGCTCAAGAAGAAACCCAGGGCCCTGCACACACTAGGTCAACATTTCATCACTGAGCTATGTCTCCAGCCCTGCTGTATTTCTTTCTTTTGTTCGGGGAAGGTAAGAAAGGCTTTTCCTATGTAGTCCAGGCTGGCTCTGAACCCACTGTGTAGCCCAGGCTGGCCTCTAACTTGTGTAGATCCTCTTGCCTCAGCCTCTTGAGCGCCAGGATGATAGGCGTGCCCCAGCCCACCCGGCAGTGTTTGTCTTTCTGAAGGTTGTTTGAGGTCACCTTTCCTAAATCCCAGCACGGGCAGTGCATTTCCAAGTGACATTAGGTAACAATAAAGTTACGGCTCTATTAAGAGTGTGCACACAAGAGGTTCATGACTACAGTGTGTCCAACCAGCTTTAGTTCCTCAGTTCCAGTCAGTTTAATTTTGTAAAAATCTGTTACTGTTATTATGTTTTCTACTTCTGAGTCTGTGCTAGAATCCAGCTCAGTTTCTTAAGCAAGGCAGCCATTCCACAGTCGCGTCCACGCGTGCCCTCCTTTTTTAACAGTAGCTTTCAAAATTCAGGCCATCGGTGTCTTTCCCCTGCGCAATTATTAAAGGGGCCTCCTCGCTGGCCTCTTTGCTGCTGGCTTCCCCGGGTAGAACTCCCGTCCCCCGCCTGCCCAAAGCCCGACCTGTTGCTCCTCTGCTTAGAAACCTCGGAGACTCTTTCCTGTCTTCCGCTGCATGCCAGCCTCCAAACAGACATTCCTGGCCCTCCATCGGCCCCCAGTCTGCCGGTCCACACTTACCTCCCACGCTACTTCCTGCTCCCCAGGGTTTCCACAGCCACCCCGTGCTCTGCACTGTGGTCTCTTGTGATCCTGGTGTTTTTTTTGTTTTTTTTTTTTTTTTTTTGTTTGTTTGTTTGTTTTTTTTTTAACCGTTTCCTGTCTTCCTGAAGGTGGAGTGCTCCTCCTTTGTCCTCTGAACTTACTCCGTTTTCCACACTGCACTGTGGGTCCTAGTTATTTGCATGGCTCATCTTTCACAGGCTCCTTGGAGCAGGAGGGTCATTTTAAAAACTTCTCTTACCACCAAGCACACACCTTCTACACTATAAGTGCTTAATAAATACTGTTGATTTCAAGGAACTCTGTTTTTCTACACCCACAAAGAAACGGAATTTATTTATTTGTTTGTTTAATGGTTTTTCGAGACAGGGTTTCTCTGTGTTGCCCTAGCTGTCCTGGAACTTGCTTTGTAGACCAGGGTGGCCTTGAACTCACAGAGATCCACCCGCCTCTGCACCACCTGCCTGGTAGAGGTGGAAATCTTAATTTTGGTCAAGCTGGCTTTCTTTTCCTCAGAGTGGCCGAAGTTCCTGGCTGAAGAGCTCAAATGAATGAGTGGTAAACCATGAGCAATGAACAGGGAAGGGATAAAATGAGAACTGGAGGGACGCACTAGAGTACTGCGGAGTAGATCGCTATTGTCAGTGAGTAGAAATCACAATCTCAGAGGAAGGTGAAAGAATGTTCCAGAATTAAAAATAGCTCTTCTTTCTAGATAGTTTCCTAGGGGGCTGGCATATCAGGGAGGATTGGGTTCATCTGCATATGAAGGGAAAAGCCAAGAGAACAGGGCTTTAAACAAGATATTTCTTTATCATATTACTAGAAAAATAAGCAGGCAAAATGGAGACGTAGCCAGTCCAGAGCTGTTGGATCAGTTAGTCCAATGAGGGACTCGGGTCCTTTGTGTCGATCATGCTTGGCACACCGCTTCTCAGTCCAAAAGATCACCAGGGCTCCACTCAGCCCATTGGTACTCAACCAGGGGAAGGAGACATGGGAAGAAAAGGCGTGTTTTCTCTCCTAAGAGGAAGCCACACTGTTTCTTCTTCTCTCCGTGGATAAAATCTGGACTGGAGGTTAAAGCTAACGATGAGGGAGCAAGGGGAATATAACCATTTAATGGGGTTGTTGACCGGGAACTGGGGCTTGGAGGAAGATGTATCCGTCCTGGGATGGCTGCAGTATCAGGCCTGGCACTGCCACTTTCAAGCCTTTAGAATGAAGGACAGCACCCTGTATGAAGCCAACATTGTAAGAGAGATTTATAGTGAGGTTAAAGGAAAAATTAAAACAGAGCCAGCCGAGCTGGCAGTCAACACAGGTTCACTCAGAGTGAAGGATGCGACTCTTGACCAAATGATGACAGTGACTTGTCAGTCACGGGGTCCCTGTCCCCATTTTTCTCCCTCCCTCCAGCCTCTGTGAAGAGGTGAGTGTGGCTGCTCTCCTGCCAACTAATCCCATGGGGGTGGAACAAGCAGTTAAATTGTCCCCGAGCTTCAGAGAATAAAATCTTTAAATATCTGTTGACTTGGAATCTGCCACACCGCTAACAAAAACATACAAATCACAGAGTGTTTTCCAACTTAATTTGAACTTCATTTTTATGGCAGATCACCTCAATTAGTCCTCTATGGAAAAACTACTTACATTTCACTGGCCACTATAAGTAGCTTTTTGAGACTTTAGTCAGTGTCAGATACTGAGGCAGCAACCCTGGATTTGTGACTTTCAATGTTTTAGGGTCAGATCAACTGCTCTGAACTCTCGATGGAGCAAAGCCCCTAATTCATTCTGTGGTAGTCTAGCTAGAGTCATAAGTGCCTGGGAATTTATTTGCTTTGCTTATTTACTCCAAAGGGATTAAACTCTGAAGGGAAGGGACACAAGGACTTGATTTTTTTTTTTTAACTTGACGTGAGTTTGAACAATTAGAGAATTTTAACAGTGAAATACAAATAGGATAAGATTTCATTACACGGTGATCTGGGGGCAAGGATGGCATAGAATATAAGGAAGCTGTCATTGTCAACGGCATTTTGTCTCTTATAGACCTTCTAGAGTAATCAGGAAGACGACTTCCAAAACCTGATGTGATGTCTCCTCCTGGAGACGACGCACGAGGTGAGTGAAAACCGCCAAGACCTTGTTTCTAGTGGGAGCACAGATAAATAGACAGTGTGGTCCTGGGCAGCGATCCTTCTGGAAATAGAAGCATGCTATAAAAAAATGGAGTGGGAAGATTTTGTGAGCCTCTGTTTGAAAACCGTCAGCTAAACAAACCAGAATTTCCTTAGGTGGCAGCCAGAAATATTAGCCACCCTATAAACCAACCACGTTACTTCAGACTCTTAGTGTATATGTGAATGCTTGTCTATATTGTTGACAAGGAATCAACTGTTTTGATAGAGTTCTGTTTAGGGTGTCATTGGGGACTGCAGAAACCCCCTGGAGAGATGACACTAAGCTAATATGCTGTGAGCCCCTACTTTATTCTGACTTTGTCACATATGAACTAGACAACTCATATAATGCCCATTTATAGTTGAGGAAGCAGGCTTACCGAAATTAGGGAACTTGCGTTTTGAGTTTTTATTTTGTGTGTGGGGTGTGTGGGTGCATGTTTGAGCACGTGAATATGCAGGAACATTTGCTTATGTGAAGGCACGAGGTCGACCTTGGACATTTTCCCTGTTGCTCTCCACCTTATTTTATTTTATTTGGTTTTTTGAGACAGGGTTTCTCTGTGTAGCTTTGCGCCTTTCCTGGAACTCGCTTTGGAGACCAGGCTGGCCTCAAACTCACAGAGATCCGCCGGCCTCTGCCTCCCGAGTGCTGGGATTAAAGGCGTGTGCCACCACCGCCGGGCAACTCCACCTTATTTTTTAAGACAGGGTCTCTCACTGAACCCGGCACTCACGGTTTCAGTTAGGCTGACTGGCCAGCAAGCTCTCAGAATCTGCCTGTCTCCATCCCTTTCTTGGTGATAGATGGCTTGTGGGGGAGGCAGTTCTGGGCATTTGATGAGCATCATCAGGTTCTCATGCTTGCCTAGCAAGTACTGACCTATCTGCCCAGTCCAAAGACTTCTTACCTTTCCCAGGATCACAAACCTAAATAAATAGAAGAGCTAAGATTTGAAGCTAAATCAAGGCTAGACTGGACTACATAGTGAATTCTAGGTCAGCCTGAGCAATAGAGTAAGGACTGGTCTTAAAAAGTAAGTGGACATAGAGCTGGAGAGATCGATGGCTCAGCAGTTAAGAGCAGTAGCTGCTTTTCCAGAGGACCCAGGTTTGAGTTCCCAGAACCCACATGCCAGCTCACAACCATCTGTAACTCCAGTTCCTGGAGATCCGACACCCTTTTCTGACCTCTGTGGGCCCTGCACACACGTGGTGGACAACACATTCGGACAAAACACACCTGCACATAAAATAATAAAGTAATTTAAGATAAATAAATAGTTGAAAAAAAAACCAGTTTAAAAGCTCATTTTAAAAATTCAAAACTACCAGTTGTCTATTATAAGATAAACAGACTTGTGTCTGTGAGATGCTCGCTGGGTGGAGGCACTTGCCACCAAGTCTGATGACCTGAGTTCAGTCTCCATGACCCATGTGGTGGAAGGAGAAAGCCAAAGCTCACAAGCTGACCTCTGACCTCCACATGTGTACAGTGGTGTGTTTGCACCGCCCCATAAATTAAAAAAACGTAGAAGTGAAAACATTTTGAAAGGCAAATAAACAGACTTAATGAGGAAGAGGAGTAAATAAGGCTTGAGGGTCCATCCCACCTCTCGCCCCAGCTTCTCACACTGTCAAGTATTTCCCATAAATCCTTGCCTGTCTTTGCTTTCGGCCAGTGTGGTGGAAACACATGTTGTAATCACAGCGATGGGAATCGAAGGCAGGGGGATTACCGTGAGATTGGGGAAAAAGAAAGCCATGAGTGGAGGAAGTTGATTTACTATGTTTCTTTACTAGAGGAAATGATAAACATTAAACATTTCTCACTCAGAAAACCTGGAGCATCTCCAGACAGAAACTCTGGGAATGGAACTTACTGGTTTCCAGGGACCATAATCCATTGCAGGGGAATTTTGAAGGAGTAATTATGGACTCCTTTGGGAGACAGGTATGAGCCCTAAATCCTTTCCCCAGAAGAAATGAATCTACTTAAAATTTTACCTACAATTCAGAAGATTTATAAGTGAGGCATTTCAATTAATTATTTGATATAAGTGCCATCCTAAGAATGTGGGCAGATGTTATAACAACCAGAAAAGCAGAACTTCCAGGTGTGACGTTGCCCACCCGTCATCCTAGCATCTGGGAAACGGAAGCAGGAGGCCCGGGAGTTCAAGGCTAGCCTGAGCTACGTAAGAGCCCGTCTCAACAACACAAAAACAAACAATAAGAGCAACTGTAAAGTAGGGCTCAGCTCCATGGGGACAGGTCATGAGAACCAGGGAAGAGTGACACCCAGAATCTTGAAGGACTCCAGAAGCGGGAGAGCTAGCCCAGTCTCGGGTGGGCCGGGGTGGGGGGGGGATATCCAGTGTGGAGGAGGGCGAGAGGGGTGTAGCATCAACAAAGGCCAGAGACCAGAGAGGACAGGGAGCCGAGACACCTGTGCTTTTTAAGAATTACATTTTTGGTGTGTGCACCAAGGTGTATGTGAGGTCAGAGGGCAACCTAGAGGAAGCCAGTTTTCTCCGTCTACCATGAGTCCCACATCAGACTTGATGGCAAGCATCTCTATCTGCTGAGCCACCTCACCGGCCCTGGCTTTGGGCTTTTGAGATAAGGTCTTAGATATCCCAAACCAGCCTCAGATTTGTGTAGCCAGGAATGACTTTGATCTTCCAATCCTCCTGCCTCCATCTCCAAAGGGCTGGAGTCATAGACACGAGTCACCATGCCTGGCTCTGACTGTCTTTGTCGTAGGGTCCCAGCAGGAGACCTGTTGGACTGAGGCTGTAACTCAGTGGTAGAGTGCTTATCTAGTATGCACAAGGCCCTGGATTCAATCTCCAGCAATATAAAAGATGAAAATAATAAAAGTTAAAAGAAGATAAATTCCCTTGACTCGGGCTGGGATTACTGGCTAAATAATCTGCTCCTTAAAAGACATCACCTAAATCACATGAGACTAGTTGAAAGGCTGATACTTTACAAGGGAAACCGAGGTAAGTTCAGAAACCACCTGTAAACGACTTAAATTTAAGATGACACGTTTTTCTGCGGACTGTAGGGAGTCTGCGCATAATCAGATTGGAGTCAGCCCTTTAGGGTGGGTGGCTCACTCCCAAGTCTGCTCCTTCCCTCCTTCTGCATCCAGTAGCTCCAGATGAGTCATTTGCAACCAGCAGGAAAGAGGGTACAGTGGATCAGGGCCTCAACACTTCAGCGTGAGCTGTGGTCCTTGGGTAATTCTTCCTGTAATTTACTGTGCAGAGCAAGGTTTGCGTATAATGGCCTACCTGGTTCGTTTCTGTTTGCCTGTACTTAACTTTACATACCTAACTAAAATCCTAAATGTTGGTTTCAACCTCTACTTCTTTCTGGTGGCTTCATAAGGTCTCAAGGACATTTCACTGGATAAACATTAAAATATTATTATTAAGTTAAAATTTTCTTAGGTGCCATAAAGTCTTCAAAGAGTAAACTTGTATATATTGCATGTTAATATGTATGTATCATGTCTTCCTGCCCTTTTGTTAGGTTTTGTTTGTTTAAGACAGCTTTCATGTTGCCTAGGCTGACCTAGAACTCCTGATCTTCTTGCTTTGGCCTCCTGAGGACTAGGATTACAGATGTATGCCCCCACACCTGGCTCTACATAATGTGTTTATAAATGTTTTAACAAAGAAGCATTTGGTCTCTAGCAAACCATAGTTCTATGCAAGACTCCCAGTCTACATATTTGGATAGTGAACATTTTTTTTTTTAAAAACAAAATTTACGCCGGGCGGTGGTGGCGCACGCCTTTAATCCCAGCATTCGGGAGGCAGAGCCAGGCGGATCTCTGTGAGTTCGAGGCCAGCCTGGGCTACCAAGTGAGTTCCAGGAAAGGCGCAAAGCTATACAGAGAAACCCTGTCTCGAAAAACCAAAAAAAAAAAAAAAAAAAAAAAAAATTTACAATTTAGGTAAAAAGCCATTGATTCCGCCCCCCCCAAGTTTTCTCTTTTCCAACTCATTAATTATGAAATAAAAAGAACAGGTCTCCTTGCTATTAATATGAACAAATGAAACTCTGTGTGGCTTTCTTTAGGGAATTAACCATAAGGGTGACATCCATTGAGAGGCGTGCCCAGTGACAGAGGAACGTGACTAAAGGACATGAAGGCATTTATCTTCCACACACGAGGGAATTTTGTTTCTATAGAATGTCTGAACATCCCAGGGTAGGGAGACGGCTCGGTAGGTAGGTAAGGTGCTTGTTGAACAAGTATGAGAGTATGAATTCGGATTCCCAGAAGCCATGGAAAAAGCCAGGCACAATAGTGTTCACCTGTAATAACGGATCTGGAGAGTGGAGACGGGAGGATCCCCGGGGCTCACCGGCCAGACACTCTCGGCAATCAGTGAGCTCCCGGGTCAGTGATTCCCAAAGTAAAGTGGAAAGCAGCTGAAGAAGACACTCGATGTCAACTTTTGCTCTCCAAAGGCATAGGCATATATGTATGCACACATCCATGTACACATACTCATGTATAACTATGTGCACACACAGGCACACACACACACACACACACACACACACACACACACACCAAATACCAAAGCACCCAAAGTATGCGATGATTTAAAACTTTTCTTGAAATTGAGTAAATTGTCTTGAAGGAGATGATTTATCCTCAGGCTTCAAATCTAGCACACTAGGATAGTAAGATGTTGAGTTTTGTGAAATGTGCAAGATTCAGAAAGGGATTACTGCATGATCTCTTAGGATTGGGATCTAAAAAGTCACCAGAGCCTAGGGATGGGTGGTGTGGAGGGAGAATGGGGAGGTGTTGGCGACGTGTACAGGATTCTGACAGGAGGACCAGATGGCTTGTGTGTTGTTGTTGTTGTTTGGCTGATTATTTTGTTTTTTAGAAAGATCTATTTCACAGCA